AGAAGGAGAAGAAGAAGAAGAAGAAGAAGAAGAAGAAGAAGAAGAAGAAGAAGAAGAAGAAGAAGAAGAAGAAGAAGAAGAGAGAAAAACTGGGGCCAAAGAGATGATTCAGTGGTTAACTGCTAAGTTTGATCCCTAGAAGTCATGTACAAGCTAGAAGGAAGAGAACTAACTCCACAAACTTCCTCTGAGATCCATATACATGCCCTGGCACTCATGTACCCACAGACACAAATCACACACACACACACACACACACACACACACACACACACACACTAATATTAAACTAATTAAAACTTTGAAAAAGAAAATATCGTAATGAAAACCATTCTTGTATGTAATTAAAATATGCTCTATAAACAAAAGACAAAACAATAATTTAATATTTTTCTGTATGGCTTCCTATTTTCCAACTGAATTTGTGTATGAGGATTGCATGAAAAACAGTTAACTATTTTTATGGCAATATTTATTAAATGTTTTTGTTTTCCAGTTGGTACATTATGCAGTCATTGTCATTCATTAATGTGTTCATTAAGATCTGTTTTGGGTTTTTTTGTGTGTGTGTGTGTTCTTTTCTATTGATCTGTATCCTGGTTTCCTTTCTGTTTGCTGTGACAAAATACCTTGTCAAATGCAGTGGAGGGGAGAAAGGATTTATTTTAGCTCCCAACTCCAGGTTACACTTCACCATTGGAGGCACTTCAAGGCATGCAGAACTTGGAGCAGCTAGTCACATCCACAGTTATGCATGTTTGTGCTCAGTTCATTTTTTTTAACAGTCCAGTACTTAACCCTACGGAACAGAGCTGCCCATTTTTAAGCTCAGTCTTCCTGTAGTTGAAGTTTTCCTGTGTCCCACCTGGCCTGTGGTCAGGACAAATCTCTCTCACCCGCCAGTCCTGGAGCCACTTAGACTCAAGTAAACACAGAGGCTTATATTAATTAAAACTGTATGGCCTAATGGCTCAGGCTTCTTGCTACCAAGATCTTACATCTTAAATTAACCCATTTCTATAAATCTATACCTTACCACATGGCTTGTGGATTACCGGTATCTTTACATCTTGCTTCCTCTGCGTCTGGCTGGTGACTCCTGACTCAGCCTTCCTGTTTCCAGAATTCTCCTCTCTCTTTGTCCTGCCTATACTTCCTGCTTGGCTACTGGCCAATCAGCACTTTATTTATTAACCGATTAGAACAACACATTCACAACATACAGAGCGATATCCACGGCATCTTTCCACATCAATTAACATAATCCAGACAAATCCCTACAGACATGCCCATAGGCCAACATAATCTAGGCAATTCTTCATTGAGACTCCATTCTTAGGGGATTCTAAATTGTGTCAAGTTGTCAATTAAAACCAACCATCACTATTTGATAACAATACCATGTTGATTTCATTTTTTTATATTACATTGCACTTGATCATCTGACAAAACTCAATTGAACACACACCAATGTTTCTGTTTTTCATTTTTTATCTCCTTATCATGACTTGTAGAAGTCTCATATAGTAAAGGCTTGCTTCTCCAACATGTAGAGTTATTGAGACATAATTAAATCAAGAGGGCACTAATCAGCCGGGCGGTGGTGGCACACACCTTTAATCCCAGCACTCGGGAGGCAGAGGCAGGCGGATCTCTGT